TGATCCATATGTATTGGCCATATTTCTATCTTTCCACGATGAATGATACAAATTACCCGTGATCCCTTTCTTTTTCAAACATGGAAAAAGACACCCTCAAGCAACAAGATAAAGATAAATTTTATCGTGAAAAATCTTGAAATAGAATGGAAATATTATGATACTTACGATTCATGAAAATTTAATCAAACTTCAAATTATATATTTTTTATCGTTTGAAACATAGAACTTAACCTCTAAGAGATCATTTGATGAAAATAACATAATATCTAAAGAATTGTCATCAATTATTTGACTATTTGCTTATTTTTCAAGTATTTCCTACATATAACAATTCATAATGTTCATTTTAAATGGACCGGATTGTTCATAATGATCTGTCGGATTGTTCAATCTTTAAGTTTACTCCTTGGATTACATATATGTGTTGTAGGAAAATATAGTACTATGATTCCAAGATGATGCTCATACTAATTCTTGCCCACAATATATCGTGACTTGGCGGCTCCATATTTTATTTTAAAGAATTGATGAGGACCATTCGATCTGATAAAAATGAAGCCGCCCAGTATAAAATATATAGAGATAAATGGATGGATACACACATACATGCACATGTGGGTTACATGTGTAGGTTGTCAGCATTTTTGGATGTGGAGAAGTGATTCATGTGAGATGTTGGGCATCTTTTATCCAAAACTTACTTCTTTCCATTAATAGAAATAGAATAAGGCAAAATGCTAAATTGGGTTCAAATTAATTGGCTAATCATGGACAACATGTTCATGGGAATTGAATATTTATTATTACACGTTGTAACGAGAGAAATACTCCCTCCGTCTCATTTATATAAGTCGACATTCCTTATTTTCTATTTTGTTCGTTTACTAATATACCGTTATTTAATTTGTCAAGTTATAACCAAATTTTCACACTTAATCTCGAAATTGTATAAATGTGAATAAGGGTAAATTAGGAAATTTTTTGACAAAAATTGTTTTTTGAATAACATTAAGAGCTTGTTTGATGGAGAATGTGTGATTTAAAAAATAAGGAAAGCTTCTGATTTTGCATACAATATTATTTTTTTGAAAAATATATGGTTGAAAAGAAGAAAAAAAAGATATTTTAAAAATAATGAAAATCAAACAAGGGCTAAATAAGTTCTCTTAATTCGTGTGAAATCAAAATCAACATATATAAATGGGACGGAGGGGGTAGTAATTTTTTGGATGATGTGTGGTTAAAAAAGAAAGGATTTTTTTTAGATTTACATGTAGTATTATTTTATTGAAAAATAT